TCCCCGGCGCTGCCCGGCCGCCCCCCGCCCCGGCCGCCCCTTCCCCTCCGCGCTGCCCCGGCGCTCGGGGATCCGATCCCCCTTTTCCACGGATGCGATCGTCCCTCATCCCTTCGGCCCCGAAACCGGCCGGGAAATTGAGGTCTGGGGGAGATTAGCATCGTTGCGGTTGCCCCGACGGGGACGCGAAGGATGAAATTCGCTTAAACTCTGTTATTTATGTGTAATGTTGCCGCCCGTCTCACAACAACCGGGGCTGAGATCGCAGTTAATTAGCTTTGGATAAAGAATTGCCCGAAATTAAACGAGCACCCAACATCGGCGTGTTCGCCCGTACTGCGGGAGGAAAGGAAAGGGCTGGCGGTCGCGGGGCGCGATGTGATGAATAGAAGTTGATTTTCGCCTTCGTGCTTCGCGGGAGCTTGAGGGAAAGCGCGTCCTTTTGCGGGGAAAAAGCGCTCGGTATTCGTAACGATCCCGGCACCCCGGGGGTTGTACGGGGACCAGCTCCGGCAAATCCTCCTCGGCCGGGGCAAAGCACACGATATGACAAGAAAAATACGGTCAATGGTGCGGGAGAATTTAGAGAGCCTTTGTCAGTCGCTTAGAAGACGTAAATCCCCGGGTCTTAAACGGGATTGTTATTCAGGTTTCTGCTGGTAAAAATGCCTAAAAATCCCCTTTCCAGGTACAGAGGCGAAGCGCTCTCGCCAGGGTTGCAAGCGCCGGGTGTCTTGATTTGACATCAGGATTTTGAGGAGAGAGGAGCGTTTGGGGAAAGTCTTCGCGTTTTATGTCTTCGATAAAATAGTTATAAACGCACATGTAAATCAGTGAAGCTGAATCGGGGCGGCTTTCCTGGGCTACCTCCAATCCCAAATTGTCATCCCTCGTGTGATCTAAGCAGGGATGTAATAACTGGAGGATCTTCAGCATTATATTTCGTTTTAAAAAAAGTGGACAGACAGTTTGGAGACAGAATCGCTTAAAAGTGAGTGTGATAACGAATTATGATTTTGGGTTTCCTTCTTTAATCATAAGGGGAAGTGTTTGGGGTTTTGGGTTTTTTTTGGGGGGTGGTGTTTCTGTTATTTTGTTTCTGTCACTGTTGCTGCTGCTGATTTTATTTTGCATCTTTTGGGGAAAGAGCTAACTGTGTGTATTTGGATAGCCAGAACAGCAGGAGAAAACTTACATTATGCTTTGCAAGGTGCCTTTTCCCTTCTCAGCTTCCTTGCCTTTATCATTTATAACAGCTCCTCATCTCTTTGGAGAAGGGTCGCACTGGAAAATGCTGATTTGAAGGCTGACCGGACAACAGGCGTCTAAAACAAGCAATTTATGGGGAAATCACAGCTGGAAAGGGCATCTAAAGGACAAGAAGCAGGTAGATTTTTAAAAAGCAGCTTCCCTCTGTGTTTGAAGAGCTAAGCCGAAAATGTTATTCTCTACAATTACACCAAATCTGTGTTTATCCGTTTGCTCAAAAAACCCACGATCGTTGCAGGAGGGAGAGGAGCAGTCAGTGGTATCGCCGTATCGCTCGAAATTGCGATTTTTGCTTCAGGGATTTGATGTATTTGGGCAAAGGCAGAGCCATCTAGAGGAACAGCCCGGCTATGACGAGGCGGGGAAGGCAGTTTCCCTCAGAGGCATGGTATGCTAACTTCGGGTTTTCCTTAGTTGATTTCTCTGCTTCCAACAAAGGAAACGGGTGAGAAAATAATGCTGAATTAGTTCTTATAAAAAAGAGTGTCCTCAGAAAACTCCAGCTTGCTTTACCAAATAGTAAGGAACGTGAAACAAAAATAGCTTTAGAGAGGTTATTACATAGCTGGGATGGCATGGATATGCAAACCAACACTTGAAGAGTGGAGAGAATAAAGCTTTGATGGTGTGACAGCTGTAAAAATATTTAATTTTCTTAATGCGTTTATCCTGCGAGCAGCATGCAGTGTTGCCTTGAAACATCGTCAGCTCTCAGTACAAACCTGTTGCAGTTCCCTTCTGCCAAGGCACGAGGAGAGCAGCATGAAGAGATCCAGCACTCTGCCTCTCTGCTTTCTAAACGCTGCTTTTTTTCCAGAGAGGTCTGGGAGCCGTTTGCCTTTCAGAAACGCACCGAGAAGCTGGCAAGCAAGGTGCCAAAACACAAAACTGAAATCAGTTTCAAGGTAAGGGTCGGAGGCTACTGTCCGTCACTGCGAGCAGATTCGGGGTTGGGCTTGAGCAACGCTGTGAAGTTACTGTGTTATTACCGAGTCGCTGGGACATTCGTTAGCATTGGCAATACGAGTGTGGCAGTGAGGTCTGCCGGGTAGGGGAGCCCATGGCACCTGCGAGTCGGGGCTGAACTGTATCCCCAGCCAGCTGCGATTACGTGCAAACTTCTCCAGCCAGCTGCCTTGGAAAGTGTTTCAAGACTTCCCGAGGAAAAGTGCTGCAGGAAAGCAAGGTCCTCCCCATCCTTGCCTTGCGCTAGCCACACTGTTCGCTTTGGTGTTGTGCTTGTCCTTGTTGTGTGTGCGGAAGCACGTTTCCCCTTGCTAAGAAGACACTGTCTTTGCCTCTAAGGCCCTGCTCCTCTGAACATGTAGGTACAGGCTTAACTTTCCTGTTGTGAATCTCAGGTGTGTACAGCTGAACACGGAAACCTGAAAATGCTTCAGACCTGAGCACTCAGCCTCGCAGCGGGAACCGATACCTGCACCCACCTGGGTCTCTCTGCGTTTCCCGAGGATGCTGAGGTCTAGGCACAGGGAATGTGTTGGAGGATTGCGACCTAATAGCCCATATTGGCTGCTGTTGACTTTACCAGTAGGAGAGACACCAGGATCCCTTCAATGGCTCGGAATTGCTGCAGTGAAGCAGGAACCACAGGTTTGATTTGTTTTGGCTGCATTTGCAACATAAGTCTCACTTTTTCCCCAGGGCTGGCAAGAGGCAAGGCAGTAACTCTATGGCCCACATACAGTCTGCACATGAAGAATTATTTTATATCTTTCTCCAGAGTAATCAATGAAATTGGGAATGAGTTCTTCATCCTCAGGGACAAGACGGGAGAATTATCTTTTCTCTTGCAG